GACAGGGAGTTTTGCGATTGTCATCCCGTTGTTCAATTATTTTGCCAAATGGCTAAACGCTGTATTTTTTAATCGATTTTATATTCCTAACTGTACACGAGCCAAGTAGCGTCGGCCCTCGCTTACCGAAGCGGAGGCGTGTCCGGCGCTCAGAGTGCCTGCGCTAAACCGGTTAGCTCATATGCCTTGTAGCAGCGATTAGCCAATAGGAAACTGACAAGGCATAACCATTAGTCATGCAGGCTGCCTGCCTGCCTGCCTGCCTGCCACGATGAACCCAGTCGCTGCATTACGCGGACAGGGTTTGCCAGTGTGCAGGGTAGAAAACAACTGCCAGGGACAACAGAACAGGCAGTGCTGATTCAGCAGGCAGACAGGCAGATGCTCATTGGTGGGATGAATTACTGTTCGTCTGATTGGTCTATGCTATCTCAGCGCCAGGCAGTTTGCTGAAATTCGTTTGAATGGCGGCTTCGGTGGCTGTACGTTATCTCCTTTACTATTTTTGATGTTTATTTTAAGTAGTTGTGTATCAAAAATGGTACTATTGTCAACCATGATGGTATGTACGAGGCAGATATCCTCGTGGAAGACGGCGTAATCACGTAAGACTGAATATTTTGATTAATGCCTACCCAGGAAACTCGAGAAGGACATTAGCCCACCAGAGGGTGCAGAAGTGATAGACGCTCAAGGAAAATTGATCTTTCCGGGTATGTTTTGCTACAAACACACATACTCTTTTCTTGATCAGGCGGTGTGGATTGTGACTGCCGGCTACTCAACCCATCTGATGAAATACCTGTTGCCGACAACTTTAAGTCAGCCTCACTAGCTGCTCTCTGTGGAGGCACAACCACAATTGGTGAGTTTATCTCAACCTGTATTTTTTCGTTGAATGCGTTTACCAGACCCTTTGTTTGGTGTTTATTCTGGCTACCTGGTCTCACGCAATTTAGTCTACTTGATTGTTTAGAAACCATGTCATCTATGGGGAAATTGTTGAATCTGTATCTAAAATAATGGTTTAATTGTGGGTCTAACTGGGAATTTTATCACATGTGTACGTTCTGGACTATCTTCTTACTTCTCGCTTTTACAGGTCGCTTTGATCTCAGTGAAAAATATTAAGTTAAGAAAAAAGACACCTTACATATGCGCATTTTCATCCCTTATACTGAGTAGGCCTCAGGCAGCTCAGAAGTTTTGAGTGGAAATCCGCTAGCAATTTGCTGAACGCCTTCGCTATTACCAGGCAACCGAGCTGTCCATTAGAGTGAGTAGGCGCCTTCCAGTTTGTGATGAAACGTAAGTGAACATTTTTTGAAAATTGTCGTCCTCATAACTGGGACATTGTCACAAGCTTGACTGTAAGAAGTAGGAAGCTCATAGAACAGACTGATTTCGAACCGCCGCTTCAGAACAAAACATGCTTCAGCTGTATTAGCTCCCCGTTTGAGGAATTGGGTTCTATAGAATGCTATATTTCAGAAGAAGAAAAATAAGATGTGATCGCCGGAACATTGTGTTTATAGGCCTGCCTTTTAGGATTCTCACCCGAACCTGTCGTCAGCTATAATCG